GTCTCTGTTGTACTCGTTTTAAACATTGGAAACCAACGCATGCGACCTGACATGCATACATCCTGCCTAACGTATAACACCCACCACACCCTCATCGATGAGGAAAAAAATACTAGGAACTTGTTAACAATTGACCATCAGCGTTTGCCTTGCCATCCACAGGTCCAGCAAAGGCAACTCAGTCTAGCTACTAGCTAGTCAGCTGGCCACGCACGCACAGTAACGGGTAGGCCACGAGTCATTCATGTCGCTCGCGCCGCCATCTATCGGCAACAATAACAACCTAACTTAGACGAACGCGCTGTTGACAATGTTGCGTAAACCCGCATAACCCTTTGAAGGTCGTACGTAATGATGGCGCCCGTATATACAGAGCCTCGTTCTGGTGCACACGTTCGCAGGTTCTATGTGTAGTCGGCAGCAGCGGATTCAGTAGATTCAGCATAATAGCAAATAATTCGTCTGCTCACATCTTCCTAACGGCTCGTTCTCCTCTAACATGGCGCCCGTAACCATGGCGACAGCAGCGTCACCAGCTTCAGCGCTCTGCTCATCTCACATAGCAAAAATTTCTCCATAGAAAGGGGCTGCAGTTTGCCGCAACAGGGCGCTGGGGTTGTCCGCTTGGGGGCTAACGCTTGCGTAGTTTTTGTACCGCAAGGTGGCGCCTCGGTGTCTGCCGACGATCACTGCCTTTTTATGATAGATATTGTAGCAGCAGCAGCGCAGCTGCCTAACAACCCGTACTGTGGGACGCGTGCGTTCCCGGATGTAACACGTCATGTAATGTGCAATATGGCCGCTGTGACGTAGGCCTATATACAGTGGTCGGTTTGTTTGATTCCTGTTAAAGCAAATTCCTGTGAAAACAGTTTCTCTAAAGAGAAGAAATTCATTGTGATGCAACTATACGCGATTCGTGATTATATTATCGCCATGATTTTAGTTGTTTGATTTAAGAATCTGAGAAATGAAAAACTATATCTGAGAAATGAACTGAGAAATGAAAAACTTCTTGCACCGTACTTCTCCAGTGGCAATGAAAACACACACATACTCACCACTCCCACCGCCCTCTGGGGCAAGATTAAAACTACTACCTCCCTTTCTGCAATTAGACACCCCTTCCTATCCTTACCAATGCAGATATATATATATATATATAATATATAATATATATTATATAAGTATAATTATATGATATATATATAATAAATCAGGAGAGTGAAAATAATAGATTTAATTATTATAATTTATTTATTTATTTATTTACAATTTATTATTTATTATTAATAATCTATAATTATTCACTCCTGATAATATCATAATATAATATATCATGTATATGATATATATATGCCAATTTATTTATGTTAGCTGATATATTAGTGTGGTGTGTACACAGATCGCTCAGCATGTGCAGCAATGATGCTGAATAGGACAAAGGGAAAGAGAAAGACTTGGTGACTGGACACGAGACTGCGCATGCGTCATCGTCGCCGCTCTCGCATCTGTCGATCCACTACCAAGAGAGCTTTACTAAGAAGTATTAAGAATTACTAATTAATTAAATAATTAATTAATACTTAAGAGTAATTAAGCTGCGAGCTTTACGAGGCGGTGTTCCGCAGCTTACAGGGGGAGGGGCTGGATTCGTTGTATTACGTTAGACGCGGGCAAGGAGGGCAGTAACCCCTGAGGTACACACACAAACACACACACCCACACACAAACACACACACACACACACACACACACACCACACACACACACTCAGCAACACGTTTAAATATCTAGACATCGTTAGCTAACGGAATAACCAACGAGGGGGAGTAACAACCAACTATATATCGTATAGAGTATGTGCATCCTTAGTCCCCCACTTATATATACAATATTATATACTATACATATAATTATATAATATATATATATACATATTATAATATATATATATATATTATATATATTACAGTTCAACATGATATATATATATATACCTTGTAGGTACACATCAGTGCGTGTGAAGTCACCATGCACCTGAATTTTTTGCTCAACTACAAATACGGTGCGATTTTTTAGGAGGACAATACATTGTTGTTACTGGTAATTATGGTAATCATAACTGTGATATGTTCTTAGCGCAATTAATTAATTAATTAACGTTTCTAATTAATAAATGAACTAATCAGTGATTGTTGGAAACGATTGAGAATTCGAAGAATCGGTGAAGAATGTTTGAGGAAAGATGTGTTAATGTATTGAATAATTTTATGTATTAATTCGATAATTGTATAGCTGTTTCGTTGTCATGCATCATTGCTTTCTTGTTACTGGCGCTATAATGTATCTTCACCCGCGATGTTATTTACGATATCCCTTACTGAGTCTATATACCACACACACACCTTACACACACACATCAACACACACACACACACACACACACACACAGCACCCACACACACACACACGCACGACACACACACAGCACACAGCACGTACACACATTCACAGACACACACAGACACACACACACACACCAAGTCACACACACACCACAACACAGCACACACAGCACGGGCACAACACACACGCACACATACGGACACTCACACACGTACACACACGCACACGAATACACACACACCACACACACACACACACACACACACACACGACAAACACGTGTGCAATACATAATAACACACACAACACAACACACACACACACACACACACACACACACACACACACACACACAACGATTACCACGTAGCAGATACATACTATACACACGACCAACACACACACTACATCACACACACACACAACACACCACGCAACAACACAGCACACAATCACACATACACGGTGCACATACATACATTAACAATACACACACACACACCAAACACACAACACAACACACACAACGACACACACACACAACCACACACAAGCGACGCACGCACGCAAAACACGCACAACACGCGTGTGCATTGGCCTTGTGAACAACTTCTTAATCGCATGCAGTGTACTGCATGGGCTTATTTATTGCTTTAGGTTGAGTTACTTCGCGTTGACCAATCATGTATGTCTCTTCACACATCCTGGGTTTAATGACAAGCTGTTCACATCTAATGCTGGTGATCTCTCAACGAAATAAGCTTGCTCCAGATTATTCTAATCTACTAAAGTTTTTTAGGTTCAAGGGGGTAAAACCTTTCAGAAGCGTAAAGTATGTACATTCAGATAATGTTTTGATATAGTAAACTGGTATTACGAACTAAGGAAAAATTCTAATTTAGTGCACCAAGTCATTTCCTAGAGGAAACCTATACCCTACATTTGACATTATATACCTATTATATTGTATATAGCTATTATATTGTATATAGGTATTATATTGTATATCTATTATATTATTCACGTTCACTGCATATGAACATCAATGGCGACTGACCAATTAGAGTGTGCCGCATGATCACGTGGTTTCGATTGCAGACGACAAAATAACTCGTGAGTTTGCGCACTAACATATAAGCACGCTTGTAAGAAAGCAACCGAATCCGATTGCAGACGACAAAATGACTTGAGTTTGCGCACTAACATATGAGCATGCTTGTGAGAAAGCAACCGAATCTGCTAAAGATCTTGGGGTCGTTGTCAGAAACAAAATCTGTCTTAACATAGTCTTAACATTAGTCTTAACATTAGTCTTAACATTATAGCCTTAACATTAGCCTTAACATTAGTCTAATTAATTAATTAATTAATTACATTAATTTAAGCAGCTTTGGAAAAAAAGTACTCGCAGAACGTAGAGCGTTTTTATTATTATTACATGTTTAATATAATCATGAATCAAATACAGGTCCGCATAGCTGCTTGTCTATTGCAATCTCAATCATGGACATCTCCCCAGTATAACTCTCCTCGGAATAACCCCTCGGTATATGATATATGAAAAAGACGGCTGAGGGAGTTAGAAGAGTCAAGGACACGTGTGAGAGAGAAGTTCAACGACTGAATATAAGAATGATAAACTGAAAATAACTGAACGGTGTGTGTGGTGTGGTGTTACAAGCCCATGCCCGTAGTTTGTGGATGCAGGCGCGCGTGTGTGCGCCCGACGGACGACCCCACATCTTTACAACCCGGGGGTCGGGTTACTTACTACTGCTACTATACGGAATATCTATACGGACTATCTGGTAGTAAGCCTACAGCTATGTAGCCCTGATTTATCCCTCCTCCTTCGCGTGCATGGTCAGTGGCGCGCTCTACCGGCACAGCTATCTATCCAGCTCCCTAATCACTGCTTCAGACAGACCTATACCAGAGGTCACATCTATTCCAGAGGTCAGGCCAGAGGTCACGTCTATTTCAGAGGTCAGATCAGAGGTCACGTCTATTCCAGAGGTCAGGCCAGAGGTCACGTCTATTTCAGAGGTCAGATCAGAGGTCACGGTCAATATTTCCAAGAGGTCGGATAGGAGGGGCACGTCTATTCCAGAGGTCATGTCTATTCCAGAGATCATGTCTATTCCAGAGGTCACACCCACGTCAGAGGTCACATCTAGACCAGAGGTCAAACCCAGGTCAGAGGTCACAGCTAGACCCAGGAGTGTTATGTCTATTTCCAAGATGTCCACAAGTCATGAGGTACAGAGTTCACATCTAGACCAGAGGTCATGTCTATTCCAGAGGTCGCACCAAGATCCCAGGTCACAGCTAGACCAGAGGTCATGTCTATTCCAGAGGTCGCACCAAGATCCCAGGTCACAGCTAGACCAGAGGTCATGTCTATTCCAGAGGTCGCACCAAGGTCAAAGGTCACACCCAGACCAGCAGTCATGGCTATTTCAGAGGTCACACCAAGGGCCGAGGTCACGGCCAGACCGGAGGCCAGCTTTGGCTTCAGTGGACTCAGTGGCTCCGACTCGTCCGACGATGTCTTCGTGCGGCGCCCCCTTGCGTCCAGTTCGTCCAGCTGAAACTCTACGCTGCGCTCGTGGCGGCGGCGGCGCAGCACGTCGGGCGGCGGTGACTCCTCGGGCGGGAAGAAGAACTGCGGCGGCGGCGCCCCCTGGTGGCCGACTGCGCGCGGCGTCGACGTGCCCTCGAGCAGCTCGAAGGTGGAGAGCCGCCAGGGGGCGTCGGCTGCTGCCGGCAAGCGGCGCTGGGGGCGGCGCAGCAGGTCGCGCATGATGAGCGAGACGTAGGCGGCGCGGTAGCGTCGGTTCACGGCCGCGTACAGCAGCGGGTTGACGACGTGCGACGCCCACGCCGCCGCCTCGGCGACGACGTGCGCCGCCGGTGGCGCCACCCGCAGGAAGACGACGTGCACGAGCGCCGTCGGCAGGAAGCAGACGACGAGAGCGACGCAGATCGCCAGCACCGTGTAGGTGAGGCGCGTGTCGACGCGCTGGCGCCCCCTGCCGGTCGGCGACGTCGGGCTGCGGAGCCGACGGCGGCGGCGGCGGCGGCGCTGGTGTCGCCGGAAGATGCACAGGATGCGGCCGTACATCGCGGCGACGACGACGAAGGTGACGCCGAACGTGGGCAGGTAGAGAGACCGGTAGTACCTGCGCACAACAATGATAGATGGCGCTGCTTAGCGACGACAATAGAGGGCGCTGCTTAGCGACGACGATAGAGCGCGCTGCTTAGCGACGACGATAGAGGGCGCTGCTTAGCAACGACGATAGAGGGCGCTGTTTAGCAACGACGATTTGCTTAGCAACGCGCGATAGAGGGCGCTGCTTACCACGCGAAGCGCTAGCCGAGTAGGCGGCACAAAGGTTAGAGCGCTGCTTAGCAAGCGATGAGGGCGCTGGTAGGAGGGTCGCTGCTGTAGCGACCGCGCTCAGCACCACACGTCTCGTGTGAGTGGTATTAGAAGATGTTAAATGTGCCGTTATATAGAGGGATTGCGGTCTATTTGTTATTACATGATATATATACAATGTCCATAATATGAATATGAAATATGAAATAAATTCTTAATATAATTAAATATAATTCATTAATCTATATTATTTCTTTAAACTCTGTCTCTCTCTCTCTCTCTCACTTTCTCTCTCTCTCTCTCTCTCTCATTCTCTTTCTCTCTCTCTCACTCTCTCTTCTCTCTCTCACTCTCTCTCTCACGTCTCTCTCTCACTCGCTCTCGTCTCTCTCTCTTCTCTCTCTCACTCACTCGACCTATCTCTCGCCACCCCGAACTCACGATAAAGGAAGCGTGTACATATAAGGCATATATACACTGATCTATATATATATATATTATTATATATATATATGACGCGCACGCACGCACGCCACGCACGCATGTACGCACGCACGCCGCACGCCACGCATGCACGTACGCACGCACGCACGCACGCACGAGCACGCCGCACGCACACACTCACGCACGCACGCACGAGCTACGCACGCACGCACGCGACGCACGCACGCACGCAATCACGCACGCCACTCACCTGCCGCCTTCCTCCCCGTGCTCGATGACCACAGAGGAAAACGCTGCTGCTATAGTCGAAACTTTCCCGTCAGCAGCGCAGGCAGCAGCGCGCAGGTACGGCAGCAGCCAGCAGCCGGCGATCATCCAACGCCATCTGGTGGCGCCGTAGATTGCGCGTAGACGTTGCGATGGGCGATGAGAAGTGTATTTGCGCACGAGAGAGAAAGGGAGAAGACGGGTGGTGTTAGGTCAAGAGCACCGAACAACACGGATGATGAAAGAGATAGGAAAAACACGGATAAAAAAAAAGATAGGATAAACACGAGATAGATAGAAAAGATAGAAAAAACACAGATAAATAAAAAAGATAGGATAAACACGAATAGATAGAAAAGATAGGAAAAACACGATAAATAAAAAGGAATAGGATAAACACGGATAGATAGAAAAGATGAAAAAACACAAGATAAATAAAAAAAAACAAAGATAAACACGGATAATAAAAAAAGATAGGATAAACACGGATAGATAGAAAAGATAGGAAAAACACGGATAAGTAAAAAAGATAGGATAACACGGATAGATAAAAAGATAGGATAAACACGGATAGATAGAAAAGATAGGAAAAACACGGATAAGTAAAAAAGATAGGATAAGCACGGATAAATAAAAAAGATAGGATAAACACGGATAGATAGAAAAGATAGGAAAACACGATAAGTAAAAAAGATAGGATAAACAGCGGATAAATAAAAAAGATAGGATAAACACGGATAAATAAAAAGATAGGATAAACACGGATAGATAAAAAAGATAGATAACACGGATCAAATAAAAAAGATAGGATAAACAGTCTACATAAAAAGATAGGAAAAACACGGATAAACAAAAAAGATAAGATAACCACGGATAAATAGAAAGATAGAATAACCACGGATAGATAGAAAAGATAGAAAAAACAGATAAATAAAAAAGATAGGAAAGACACGGATAAATACAAAAGATAGGAAGACACGGATATATATATATAG